ATATATATATATATATATATATATATATATATATATATATGTATGCCACCTTAGCAAACTAACGGAGTTTTTGATAGAACCTAACGGCATGGATCATTTGTGATCACACAAACTAACCTTAAGGACCACGAATGACACAAAAAAAACATTAAGGATGCAATCTGATAGTTTCATAAACCTTAGGGATTGTGATATTAAGCCTTCTCATAATTCCATATATATATATATATATATATAGGGGTCTCATAGTCTCCTAATTAGTATCAAATAGTACTCTTCTGCTCAATAACACTTGGTAGAAGAGTTTAATTTGGAGGGAGGGGAGGGGACGCGTTGTCTTGAAGTATCCACAATGGTTGTTTAATAGTTTAATAAATTGATTTTTTTTTTTTTTGCATATATTTAATTGAACATAAAAGAGACAAATTTAATAACATTAAAAATTGTACCATTGCAATATTCTCAAAAAGATCTTTAAAAAGATACCAATTTTGAATATATTTGGAAAAAAAAAAATTGATGTATTTTTTATATTCTATTGAACTATTGAACAACCATTGTAGATGCTCTTAACAACATAATGCATTAATTGTTGTAATTTTTTTCCAAATTTTATTGGCATGTGGGTACCATGGTTAGCCTACCGCAATTGCAATATAGGGTTCATCACATAGCACTCTCTATTGCAATTGCATCTATTGCAATGAACTAAATCACACGATTGCAAGTGATATTTTAATATTTTAGTTCAATTGTATGCAATAAAATTGCATTGATCTTAATCATTAGTGTTGTCTTTGTATCAATTTGTGAAAATAAGGATATTGAGGGTAAAAATAAAAATCTTAAGAGGGCTCATGTGTATTTCAACCTCAATATAGCGCCTTTTTGTAAATGAGGTCCAACAGGGTTATGCAGAAACTCGTCAAGTTCAACTTCGATACTTGTGTCATGCCAAACGAAAATATAACTTGGCATGTGGGGAGGTCACAATAAGCCTGTAAAAATGTACTGGTTCCATAAGTCCATGCTTATTGTTTCGTCAAGCATTACCTAACACGACCTTAAACCATTGCAATACAAAGAAGCTCGAGCACAAGCATGCGAGTAATATGCAACACCTAGCAACCCCCTTGTTTTAGTGTCAAACCACCCAACAAGCTTGACTAGGCCCAAGTCACATAATGTATGGGGCTTGCTGAGTGGGTTAGGGTGTAGATGGATACAAAGGTCCATAAGATCCATTAAGAGTTCGAAAGGTGAAGATTTTGGGCTGCTTGGCGGCACCAAAACCCAATCCCACTTTCTTAGGCCCATCATCATGGGTAGTAGAGAGAGAATCCCAACACCCCTTTTTGTTGAGATTGAACAAGTTTGCCTAAAAATTAAACCAAAACCTTTAAAAAAACTCATTCACGTAGATACACGAGCTACCGAAGGTAAAACCTATGACCTTTTCCATATGCAATGCCTTTACCTACTTTGCTTTTATAAGCTTATGTAAGAAAATAAAAAAGAAAGCGAGATGGAGTGTTGCCTAGAAAGGAAGCCTTTGCAAGGAAAATACTTCTTCAACATTTCTATTTCCTCCATATCACCATGTAACAATCATATCATCCACACAAATAATCAAAACAATCACTTTATATTTATTGTATTTCATGAATAATGTATGATCTAGGTTACTTTGTCCTTATCTATACTTCTTCATACTCAAACCAAAATTGATAGTGGTACAAATTAAAAGCTCAAGAACCAGTTTCAGTGGAGTTCTTTAAATCTTAAGACTGGCATATACAAGGTTTTCAAAAGCTAATGTAATATTGGCTATGTAGTTGTCCTATAGAGACGTTTGTTAATTTGTTGTTGGGTATGCGTATGAAATTTTTTATGTAAAGAATGGTGCATTGCAATGTGTGAGCAAGCATTTGTAAATAAACATGTAAAAGAATCGAATTAGCTTCATGAATCTTAATCCTTTTATAATCCGAATGTTAGATTTTATTTATCAATTCATATCCGGTATGCATCACACAATTTTGTCCATGGACTACATGTGCCACGTAAGCACTAGAATCGGATCGGGAGAAATTATAGAATGGTATGGTATCACCACGTCAGCGGGTGATACTTCCATTTAGAATTTGCCACGTGTATTTTTTAAAAGAAAATTTATACTTTTTTTTTTCAGCTAGACATTGGGTTCCAATTTTACCCTTCATAAAAATTAAAAGAGAAAAAAAACTGTGTCACAGAGCCTCCCACCTCTGTCTAGTTCGCAGCCCCCTCAGCCGCGTCGCCCCTCCCAACTCCGTCCAGTTCACAGTCCCCCTCTGCAGCGCCCTCCCTCCCTATTTTTATTCCTTTCCCCAATCCTTCAATCTCCTCATCTAGGTTGTCTTCATCTCCCTCAAAAACTCCAGATCCAAGTTCTCTTTATCCAACTTTGCTCTCAATCCCGCATGGCCTTGACAAGAGATGATCCAATAAACGCCAACTATTAAATAAAGTGATTTAGAGAGAGAGAGAGAGAGAGAGAGAGAGAGAGAGAGAGAGAGAGAGAGAGAGAGAGAGAGAGAGAGAGAGAGAGAGAGAGAGAGAGAGAGAGAGAGAGAGAGAGAGAGAGAGAGAGAGAGAGAGAGAGAGAGAGAGAGAGAGAGAGAGAGAGAGAGAGAGAGAGAGAGAGAGAGAGAGAGAGAGAGAGAGAGAGAGAGAGAGAGAGAGAGAGAGAGAGAGAGAGAGAGAGAGAGAGAGAGAGAGAGAGAGAGAGAGAGAGAGAGAGAGAGAGAGAGAGAGAGAGAGAGAGAGAGAGAGAGAGAGAGAGAGAGAGAGAGAGAGAGAGAGAGAGAGAGAGAGAGAGAGAGAGAGAGAGAGAGAGAGAGAGAGAGAGAGAGAGAGAGAGAGAGAGAGAGAGAGAGAGAGAGAGAGAGAGAGAGAGAGAGAGAGAGAGAGAGAGAGAGAGAGAGAGAGAGAGAGAGAGAGAGAGAGAGAGAGAGAGAGAGAGAGAGAGAGAGAGATGGAGGAAAAGAAGGGGAGGGGGCGGCAGCAATGGGGTATAGGACTGCAGACCTTGGTTGCAGTCGTCTTCTTTCTTTTTTTGTTTTAATCTTATTCAAAAGGGTAAAATTAAAACCTAATGTCTAGCTGGAAAATAATTTAATTAGTGGAGGGTTAAAAAGACACATGTCAATATATGAGTGGAAGTATCACCCACTGACATGGTGATACCGTACTATTCTATAATTTCTCCCGGATCGGATACCAATTTGTAGATTCAAGTTGGGTACCAATTTGTAGATTCAAGTTGGGTACCAATTTGAAACAAACCTCAAAATTCACATAGTTTTGTCTAGTGTTTTTTTTGTGTGGCCAAAGTTAGGAATGGGGAGGGGTTTTCTCTCACACACTAACAAGATGTCAGAGACCACTTATTTGCAAATCAAGGCCAATTTTCACTAGTTTGTTACCTTAAATAATCAAAACGGTGCGCACCTCTAGCTTCTATTCTTCTAATTTCTCCTAACCCGGTAGCCCCACCACCGACCTACAATTCATAATTTTTTTTTTACCCAAACAGAGAATTCTCCTTTTATTTATTTATTTTCTTTCCATTTGGAGCTAAAAAATAGACCAAAGTCGTTAAAATGAAGCCGACCATCCGTTAGGCAGGCTTGAGCTAACTTGCAAAAACACTGCCCACCACTCGCTCGTATCCCCCAACCTTTCACACACTCTCCACCTCCTTCCTTCCCTTCCGTTTCCGGACAATCGATCTCTCTGCGCTTTGCTGAACAACAATTTCACAATTTCAATTGATTTCTCATGGGTTGAAGGAGAAGACCAATTCACCGTTCGACTGACAAGCAACTTCAATGGAGTGGGATAGCAATTCGGATCTGAGCGCCGAGGAGGAGGAGGACGAGGAAGGGAGCTTGATTTTCAACGACGACGACGAAGTTTCGGGCCCCGGCCCCGGCCCGCTTCCCTTCCCCGTAGAGAATATGCTCCGGACGGCGCCGTGCGGGTTCGTCGTCACCGATGCTCTCGACCCGGACCATCCCATCATCTACGTCAACACCGTCTTCGAAATGGTCACCGGGTACCGAGCGGAGGAGGTTCTCGGTCGCAATTGGTCAGTTTTCTCTTTTGGGTTTTTCATTTTAGGGTTTGAATTGGGGGTTTTGTGGTTGAATGTTTGGTTTTGATTGGGGGGTTGAATTGGGGTTGTTGGAAATGCTTGTTTTTGGCTGCTGAAAACCGTGGTTCGGTTCTTTTATGGTTAGAGGAGCTTTATGATGGGTTTTGTGGATTGAATAGTTTTGTAGTGGTTGTGGTTGGCATTTGGGAGCTCATGCGCTTGTGAGTTGTCTAGGGTTTTGTTTGGGCTCGTAAATTGAATGCAAAGAAGCAAATTGGAGTTGCGAGTAATTGGTTTATTAATTGATGTGGTCAGATAGGTAGTCATGATGGGGTTATGAGACTAGAGATACGGCATATTGTTTCCTGTAGTCCCTCTCATGCTGTTGTTGTCAAAGAAAATGATAAATTTCAGGATATAATTATAACGAAATTTAATGCAAAGGGTTTTGTTCTAATCTTTGGGCGTTGCCTTGTTGGGCTTGTCATCCTGTTGCTCCTTTTCTATCATAGTTTTTTATATTAGTGTTGATTATAAAAGATAATTTGATAAAAGAAAGGAAATAATTGAAAATGGAATGGACAGGTAGTCCATCTAGGTACACCAATTAGAAAATACAGAGCAAAAGGAACAAAACAAGCCACATTCAATACAGAACTCCACCCCAGTCGATGAATCATATTAAAGGTAACATCTCTAGAGTGCTTAGACGTCCACAAGGAGGCCTAACATCTAATGCTGCCCCAAATGAAAACTTAAATATTCTGCCCTATCTTCAAAAGTTCTGTTGTTCTTTTCCACCACACTGGCCGTAGTACCGAAATACTGGCCAGAAGGTTTTTGTTTTTTAATATATCATATCTTATAAAGTTTATTTTTATATGAAGCCTTCTCCACCTCTACTCTAGAGTAGTGTGGCGAATTTGCTAGCTGCTTCTATAATGCTTGAGAGCTATTAGCAAGATCATTGACACAGATTGCATTCTTTTTGGTTTGATTTAGTTACACTCTATCATACTGTTGAAGTCAAAGCTTTTATCTTTCTTCAAATCTATTAGCGGTAGTAATTTTATTGACAAATTACATCTTAGGTGTGTTTTTTAGGTGGTTTATCTGTTAGTTGAACGTTTTTTTTAATGTAAAAGCTTCATGTGTGTCATGGTTATTTGCCATATTAGTACCATATATCTGTGGAATATCTCTGAACCTGTTTAATATGGCATGAATTTGTTTTTATTTTTATACTTGTAATTTAGCACCTCCAAAGATTCTTTAGGTAAAGGTTTATTTGCATATATTTCTTTCTAGGAAATCAATTGTGCATGCTATCATCTATTAACACCATAAAGATATGCAAACATTTTCTTTTTTTTCTTTTTTTTCTGAAAATGAATTTTTCCCTCGGATATCTTGGGAGTTAGATTGTGTTGGCATGCATATTCTCTACATTTGGTCAGCAATCGGGAACATTTGGTTTAGGTTATTGGAAACCAGGGTATATTATTTTGGTTTTGGGTTGACTATCTTCTAGTTGCATACTTATGCAATTATTGGATATAACTTAAATGAGTACATTTTTATGGTTTTTTTCTTAATAATATAGCATTGACTGCATATTGTGAAATGTTGTTGTCTTGGAATACGAGGAAGTTCTTTCTTCCATTATTCTTTCATTTTGCTTATTTTGGATTAACTTCATTATTGTTTTGATCCATCATTCTGATTTCTAATTGTTTAGGATTGCGTGGGGGTATTGTTTATAGAAATTAAATGGTGTAGGGTTTATCTATATCACTAGTGCTAAGAATGGGTATATAACTAAATATCTTTTTTTTTTCTTTCCTTTTTTTCTTTTTAAAAAATGTGATCAATGTCCAAGTTGGTTTGGTGTTGGGTTCAGGTGTGCCTTGGTTACAGTTCTAGTCGAACTTTTAATTGTAGAATGGCTAGGTCATTACAAGCATCGTGTGTTCTCTCAAGATTCATATTCTAGATGGTATCTTATATGATCCTTCTAATTTTCTACCATTGTTGTAAATAGTTGCGTTACAACAAACGCTTATTGTTGAACAAGTTTTTTTTAGATTTTGCATGGATTAAAAGCACATAAAGAAGAAAGAGAACGAGTCCCCTTAGTGTTTTAGATGCACCATACTGTCTCTTAAAAACATCTATTATCATAGGCTTTTCCTACCTTATATGAAAATCTCCATAAGCCTTTAGCAACCTTGAAGTAATTGGCCAGCTTAAAGTAGGATAAAGCTTATATATTCACCACTGATTTGCCATTTCATGATACTGCTTAAGCTTAAAGATTGTGTTGGTAGAATGGAGTATGTTGTTGGAGGTCACAGACATTGTTATTCATATCCAACTTGATTCAAGTGAATTGTCCCCTTGCGTTTTAACAAAGTAGTAGATAAACTAGAAGTGTTTTACAAGAAGTTTGTGCAACCAGGGGGCATGCTTGATCATGCGAAATGAGGTTCAAGTTTCCTTGACATGATTCGATTTCAGTCTAGAGTTAGACCTAAAATTGAATACAAAATTGCGCATCAATCACTATGAGAATTAAATAGGTGTAGAAAAGATCTGTGTTAACGCTATCATGGAATATTAACAGAAACCATGTGAGATTTTCTGATGGGTATTATTCATTTTACATGCCTTAAGAGTAGTGCAGTCTTCAATATTTTATAAGGTGTTGGACACTGAAGGTCACCTGCTTATGCCAAGTTCCTTACTAGTCAACACTTATACTTGTGACTTGCATGATATTAAATTACAAAACAGAAAAAAAAACATGATTTAGATGCAACACCCTTGAATTCTTTCTTATACTTTACAAATAAATATTTGAGTTTTCATTTGGAAATTCCTAAATGCGCCAGTTTGCGAGCCTCTTTGTGTTTGTGGCTTAAATGAGTTATTAAGATCTTGAACAAGCGTGTGGAGTTTTAGAAGGAAAAGCTTGAGAAAAAAAATATAATCCAGTCCAAGAATGTTTGATCATCACATTTAGGCATAACTAAGCTATCAGGATGTTGATGAAGCAAGCCTAGTCAATTATCAAGTTTTTATAATTATCTATCTGAACTATTTTGTATTTAAATATCCTACAATGATGAATTTTGCCTTTAATGGCTATGTTGTAGGGGAAAGGGTTTGATTCTTAATCATCATTTCGGGTTGGGACATATTGGACTGAAAGAAGTATAAAAAAGCTGATGTGAAAGGGATCGTACTGTTGGGGCCAACTGCAATGCGGTCTAATAACGCAACCCTTCTAAATTTAGATTTCCATTTAAGAATTATCCATGCGAAAAATCAGAAGAGCCGAAATCTCATAAATGGAAATTAGTCGGTTTTGATTCTTCGACCACATTGTGAGGTGGCCTGAACAATGCAATCCCTTTTGGTTCTTATGGAAAGGGCTTAAGAAGGAGACTTGTAGATTTTTCAAGTCATGTGTTCATTGAAATATCAATTTTACGTACTTCATGAAAATCAAACCCAAAATCTTTAGTTTGAGTTGTTCATTTGTTAAGTATGTTCACTCACTAATAGGCTTGTTGTTTAGCTATATGTAACATTTTGTTAGGGATAATGTTTCAAATAGTATTGCTAAATTCATATTTTTGCTTTTGTCTTTTCAAATATTCGTACCAGAGGCGCTTTCACTGTTTTGGTTTTAAACATGCGTCTTGATCCTGATTGTTCATGTCCTAGCATTTTTATTGGGTTGACCATCCACTGTTAAAGCAACACATCCTTCTTGACTCTTGTCAGAAGAGTACTACTCTTCGTTGGGTCATGTGAACGGAACAACCAAATCAAGAACCCCAACTATCTAATGGTTCTCTCGCACTTGATGCAATTAATAGAACATTCCTAATAGAATCGGAGCCTTTGAATTTGTGATTATGGTATCAATGACCTTGCTCCAATCTTTGCCCTTAGCTTAGGATAATTAATCTTAATAGCCATCTGTCATGAAAAGAATAACACTCTCTGTCCTTGTGATTCCTAGAATTTGATCCATCATGGGCCTTAAGAATCAGATGCAGTGTGTGGTCCATGGTTCAATCCATGGGAGAAAATATTGTTGTTATTATTGTATCCGAAGTAGATTGACCTTGCGGGAAAACAAAAGATTGAAGTTTCAAAATTTTTTAGTACTTGCGAGAGTTGTAATCTATGTTATTATTTATATATCTGATAAAATTGTTGCTTTTCATTATATAGTATTGCAAAATCGAGATTAAATCAACAATGACAGTAATTGAGTCAAAACAACAATAGCAAAGCTGCAAAAGTGTAAAGGAGACTGCTGTAAAATAGCCTGATTTTTCGGGAGGTCAGTTTAAATTTTACTATATCTTTGACATTTGGTTCTATTGTGATTAAAGTTGACCTTATTAAAGGCCTTGAAGCAGTAACTGAACTTTGAGTTTGTTGCTATCTGCTGCAAAGAGTACAATTGTTTTATGTTTGGAGATATCACAAATAATGCTTTTGTGTTCCTATTAGTTTGTGTCTTTTGTTGGATTTGGATGTTAGCTTAAAGAAATAATGCATCTCTCCCCTCTCCCTTTCTCTGTTTTGTACTGATTTTGTGCCCTTTTCTACAGTCGATTTTTGCAATATAGAGGGCCATTCGCAAAAAGAAGGCATCCACTAGTGGACTCTGCTGTAGTTTCAGAAATTAAAAGATGTCTGGAGGAGGGTATTGAATTCCAAGGCGAGTTATTAAACTTTAGGAAAGATGGATCTCCTATGATGAATAGATTGCGGCTGACACCTATATATGGGGATGATGATATGATAACCCACGTCATTGGAATCCAGTTCTTCACAGAGGCAGATATTGATCTAGGTCCAGTTCCTGGTACTTCAATCAAGGAGTCTGCAAAATCTTCTGACAGGTTTCGTTCTTATCTTTCCGCTTTCCGTCCTGCTGTTCTCTTGGGGGAGCGAAACATATGTCGTGGGGTTTGTGGTATGTTGCAATTGAGTGACGAGGTTCTTGCTCTCAAGATTCTTTCAAAGTTGGCGCCTAGAGACATTGCATCTATTGGGTCAGTCTGTAGGAGACTGTATGAGCTTTCAAAGAATGAAGACCTTTGGAGGATGGTCTGCCAAAATGCATGGGGTAGTGAGACAACTCGTGTTTTAGAGGCTGTGCCTGGTGCAAAGAGGCTAGGGTGGGGTAGGCTGGCACGGGAGCTGACCACTCTTGAAGCAGCAACATGGAGAAAGGTGACTGTTGGAGGTTCTGTTGAACCCTCACGATGTAACTTTAGTGCTTGTGCAGTTGGCAATCGTGTTGTCCTTTTTGGTGGTGAAGGGGTCAATATGCAACCGATGAATGACACCTTTGTATTGGATCTAAATGCCAGTAACCCAGAGTGGCAGCATGTCCAAGTGAGCTCTCCTCCTCCTGGCCGTTGGGGTCATACACTTTCTTGTGTGAATGGGTCCCATTTGGTGGTATTTGGAGGCTGTGGAAGGCAGGGCTTGCTAAATGATGTTTTTGTACTGGATTTGGATGCAAAGCCTCCGACTTGGCGTGAAATATCTGGGTTGGCTCCTCCGCTCCCAAGATCATGGCACAGTTCCTGCACTCTTGATGGCACCAAGTTGATAGTTTCAGGTGGTTGTGCAGATTCTGGAGTACTCCTTAGTGATACTTTTTTGCTTGATCTCTCAATGGAGAAACCTATTTGGAGAGAGATACCAGTAGCATGGAAGCCTCCTTCCAGATTGGGTCATACGCTGTCTGTATATGGTGGTAGGAAAATTTTGATGTTTGGGGGCCTGGCCAAAAGTGGACCACTTCGTTTTCGTTCTAGTGATGTGTTCACAATGGATCTGAGTGAGGACGAACCGTGTTGGAGGTGTGTTACAGGGAGTGGAATGCCCGGTGCTGGAAATCCAGGGGGTATGGCTCCTCCTCCTAGACTTGATCATGTAGCAGTGAGCCTCCCAGGTGGGAGAATCCTGATCTTTGGTGGTTCAGTTGCTGGTCTTCACTCTGCCTCACAACTTTATCTCTTGGATCCAACGGATGAAAAACCTACATGGAGGATATTAAATGTACCCGGGCGACCCCCAAGATTCGCTTGGGGACATAGTACTTGTGTTGTTGGAGGGACAAGGGCAATTGTCCTTGGTGGTCAAACTGGAGAAGAGTGGATGTTAAGTGAACTCCATGAGCTTTCGCTGGCAAACTCTGTAATCTGATTAAGAGTGTATATGGGAACACGCTGTAACGAAGGGTCACATAAGCCTTCAACTGCAAGATTTGAGATCATTCTGAGGATTCAGCCAGGCAGAGATTGCTGCTTGAGTCACTAATAGCTCTTGAAAAATGTTACTTTAGTCGGGACTTGTTTTGGGTGTTATTCTACTGCTCATTTCTTGTATGGAATTGCCCTGGCTCGGATGAACTTTCAATTATTTTCAAGAGTGACTTGAACCATGTTTGTTTTTGTGAGGTTTGTGTGAGACTGCCCTTCAGTACGGACGAATGATTAATTCTTCCTTGTCAGGTTAGTAGTATATAATGGACAGGTAGGTTTATATATGTAGGCTTAGTCTTATTATGCGTATGTGTTATTTTAATTAGGTTCTGTAATTTGAACCAAAGGAGAAAATGATGCATGTTTATAGTAACGTATTGCTAGTCCTCTTTATGTAATGAATCCTTTGTTCATCTATCCTTCATTCGTTTAAAACGTGTCATCCAGCTTAAAAGATACACAAGCAAAGATTGTGAGGCAGATTTCTGAAGAAGCCAGCACCCCAACTCTGCAGAACATGGAGGTGCCATTTTGGGGTGCAGATCAAGTTACCAAGATGGTTTATTGAGATTTGACAATTTTCAGCCTTGAAGGAATGTGGCTTCTTTTGTTTGCTGCCCCGATCTTTGCTCTTAGTTTCTCTTTGATGTTGTATACAGTTTCGTCTTTTTTACTCGGCCAGATACATTTCTTTCTGTTGTGTAAATCCGACTGTGGCTGTGGTCCTGTTGTTCCCATTTGTATGCACTTGCTGAGTTTATGACATTAGGCCATTGCAATTGCTGGAATGATAATGATTGATTGGGATGGGCCTTGCCTCTGTTTTTGCTTTAAGTGGGTAAGGAGCGAACAAATTCTAGACCAAGGATAAAGATGATTTGATTTCTTTAGAATATCATTCATGTGTTCTTAGAAGCATATTACTTTCTTTCTTTCCACATACTTTTTCCCCTTGGACTTTTGTGTTTCACATTCTTCTGAATGCTACTTTTTATTTTAGGGTTTTTAGTAGTCAGTCCTTTGTAGTTGTAGGTTCTCATTTCAGTCTCTTGGCCTCGCCAACACTTTAGTAGGTTACTCTGGGTGTCTGGTAGTAAAGGGAAAGTCAAGATTATGCCTCTGGTCTGTCTGTGTATGTTTGATGAAGTTACATGGTACGGATTGAATTTTTAATACTACAAGCAATTTAGATGGACAAAACCAGATTTAAAACCAGGGAGAGCTGTAACTTCTCAGCGTCCTGTTGGATGGTGTTGGAGCCTGGATTAGGGGAACTTCTCAGCAACGGGTTTGATATCCAAGCTCTCTCTCTGTATTTCTCTTTATGATTTATCACGTGATGAGAGATGGAGGCACAAAGGTGGCTTTGAAGGTTTATCGTATTTTTGGATTCCAACTTGCATATAAATGGATTTCCTAAGGCAACCTAAATTTGTCAGGAGAACTCAGTTTCCACTGTTTCCCATGAAAGAACAAAAGAAAGCAACTTGTCTATGAATACTGAAACATGAAAGCTGTCACACCCTGTTTCAATATTTCACTTTCCTTCACACTATAGAGAGAATGAAGAAATTAGCAAAATTGCAGGTTAGTTTTAGCCTTGAATTGGAGGGTAGATTATGGGGGCCGACGAAGGTCTAAAATATCGATGATATCGGAAATATCGGTAGTCCAAAAACCCGAAAATTTCGATGGAAATATCGGGATATTATCGATATCGATAAAAATTGAATAAAAATCACGGAAATTGTAAGAAAAACTTTGAAATATTTGTTGAAACTTTGGATGATGTTTATTTAGTCAATTATCTATTAGTTTATCATAAAAAATTGGAAGGAAATTCATTACATGATGGGTTTAACTGATTTAAGTTGATTATATAGCGAGTTGACAAACATTGTGAGTGTAGAAAATATGTAGTAATTAATGAAAGAAAATTAAACACACCATAATCATTTATATATAATGTTATACTACAATATTTTACATTTTATACATTGCATGGTAAGATACACGAGTGACTATGAGGTTCAAAATTTTTCAGTATATTCATCATCTCTATGTGTAGAGTAAGTGTATTGTGAGTAGTCATCAAATAATAAATCCCAAAAATAGTTTTCCATGAAATAAAATATGCCACCCATATGGATTTGAGATTGGTTGACGTTGTCCATAAGCAAAATCATTTGAAGATTGGGTCTCGTTTTCTTTCCATGAGCCGCTCGATTCCATCCAAAAGGAAAAGTTCAAAGACTCACATTCTCATGTGAAAATCTAATTTTTGCAAAAAACAGTTCAAAACAAAACAATATAAATATACATATTTTAGCATCTTATCACAAAAACATAAGCAACATGGTGGTTAAGGCGTCGAATAAGTGAAACTAGGGTTTGAATCCTCTTTGCGTTTGTGCTTTGTGTGTGTGTGTGTGTGTGTTTTTTTTTTCTTCCAATACATCGATGTTTTTGATATTTTTGATATTATATCGATATTTTAACAAAATATTGCTGAAGTGTGAGCAAAATTATCGACATCGATATTTTCCGATATTATCGTCGATATTATTGATATTTATACGATATGTTTATGAATACGTTTCGAAATATCCGTGACCCGAAAAAACGATAATATCCTCGACATTTTGTAAATATTATTGATATTTTAGACTATAGGGCTGACTTATAAATGACAACTTCGTAAGAAAAATCCCAATTAAGTCCCTAACTAAAAGAAGCATAACGTTCATGACCAACTCAATCATAGCTACTTTTAAATCACAGGGTGTTGAAGAATGTAAAGTTTCACATTGGAAATTTGATAACGTAAAAACAATATGTAATGAATGGTTTCACTACTAATAGTTTTGAGACTTTTTGTAATAAAATCTCACACTTACTAGGTTTTGCAGGTGATTAAATTGATGACAATATATTGGTGTTTGTAATTGAGGGTGCAATTCGGTCTAAATGACATTCTTTTTTCTTTGAGTTTAGCACCATCCCTTGCTCGCTTTCTCATATCCCATTCTGTCGGTAGGAATACCATGAAAAAGAATGTATGGTAAATATAACATTACCTAACAAAAGAATTTATGGTAAATGTAATATTACCATCTGTCGAAACTCTCTTATACATGGCAGCCTAGCTGCCCCAAACCCACGCCACTTCGACTCTCAGATGACTTTTATCATCCTCAAATGGGTCCAAACTCTCTTACTTTTACTCTCAGACAATTTGACTGACTTAAGTAAAAGGATATCTTTGACCAGTAACAAACGATTTGAGCCTCAAGATGCAAATTTACTATTTATATTTATTTTTGGAGTTATTTATACCAACACTCCCTAAGATTTATGTTGTTTTTATAAAACATCCCTATGAGGTTTCAAATTTTTTCCACAAAGCCTCTTTCTTTCATTTTTTGTCGAAAAAATTGATGATTTAATTAAAAATACTTCTTCAAATGATAAAATTAATCTCAACAATTAGTCGAGGGTGTATGTACAATCTAATCTCTAAAGTCAACACTATCATTTGGATAATTTTTTTTAATGACGCGAGTAATTTTTAGGTAAAAAGTTTATAAAAGGGGTTTTGTAAAAGTAATGTGAAAACTCATGAGATGGTAGTGTAATTTTCAAAACCTCAAATGATTTTGTAAAAATGATGTGAAAACTCATGAAGAAAGTGCAAAATATCATAAATCATGAGATGTGGTGTGGTGGTAGCTCAGTTCATTCCTTAATCATGAGGTTGGGGGTTCGATCCCCGTCCATGGGAATGTAGCGCATTTTGTGGCCAGCCGTTTACCTCCATTGGGAGAGCTCCCGCGGCAAAAGGGATTAGTTACTATTGTCGGCGGTGAATACCCTTGGGTCTCACCTAAAAAAAAAATGCAAAATATCATATCTGCCACTGCCAGATCGGTATTCGGTACAGATAGTTACTACTACTTACTACACTCCCAAAATATTTAGGGAGTTTCACTAAAACACCCAAAATGGGGGTTGAAATTATAAAAAAACCCAACACCCAAAACACTTTATAAACACACCCAAAACCCATCATTACACACACACAAGACCCATTTATAAACACACCCAAAAAATATACAATTGTTGATTTTGGGGTTGCTTTTGGGTGTGTTTCTATGTTTAAATAGTGCGTGAGTTTTTTTATAAATACATGTCTATGATTGGGTTTATTTATAATAATCTAAAATATTTATTAAAAAGAAAAGAAAAGAAAATATTAAATAAATACTCAGAAAGACAAAGATATGACCAGTTGGGTTTGGCGTGCAGTCCACAGTAAGCTTCTTTTTCTTCTTCTATCTAACAACTCACACCAATCACTCACTCTCAAACTCTAAACTACTCCACTTCCCTTCACACTCAAAACCCACAACAAGATCTCTCACCACTTTCCCTCACTTTCTCTTACTTTCTCTCTCCTTTTCCTCCAAACCAAACAGACCCAGATTGATGGCTATCAACAGAGATTCCACTCCCCCACCAATGATCGGCAAGATTGGCCCTTACACTGTGTTCATGACTCCACCCTCCACACCAAAACCACCTGAACCGGTCTTTGATTCCCCCAAGAAGGTGGCCCCACCTCCGGTTCAGCCGCCGCCTCAGCAATTGGTGCAGCCTATGGCTGTTTCAGATTCTGCCGCCAATGGCTCTGTCTTGGGGGTTTTTAAGAATGCCGTGAACAAAGTTCAGAAGGGTAATGCATGCTTTTGTTACTTGTTTTTCTAGTCTATGTTTTTGTTTTTTTGTTTTTGACTGTGCTCTGTTTGGTGGTTGGGAAAGTAGAGGAAAAGGAAGGGAAATTGAGGATTGTTCGGCTTGAATGAATGAAATGAAAGAAAACCCAAGATGGGATTTTACTGTAAAGGGTTTCGTAAATGGTGTGAAGAATGGGTTTTTGTTCGGAAAACTAATTTATTTTATTTTATTTTTAAATTCTGTGTTGATTTATTTATATCTTTCATGCTTTGTGTGAAAGTAAGCAGAGCTCATTGGTATTTTATAAACTATGTCTGATAAGTAAATGGATAATAGATTATGCAGTGTTGTGGTTTCTGTGCTCTTTCTTATCTTTTGGTTTGCAGAAACAGAAAAGCAAATATTCAGCAAGCTGAAGTTTCATTTTATAACCCTTCATAATGTATAATTTTTGGTGGATATTTTCTTCGCTACAGCTGATGGTGGTGTGTTTTGGGTTATTTTGCAGCACATTCAAGTTTGGATGACCATTTGGCACGTTGGTTTGGGTTGAATCAGTCAAAATATCAGTGGGCACTAGATGATTATTATGAGAGCAAGGGATTGGTAAGCATTTGATTGCTTGCATTCCCATGACTTATTTACTTTCTGTTGCGATTTTATGCTGTAATGTTTAGCAACTTAAGTTGAATTTGTTGTCAAATTGAGCACTGTATAGATTGAAGTGTGCAGAGGTTCATTTATTGTATTATTTCCTTGTCCTTTCTTTTATTATGCACCCTCGTGCAATCAATACTTATGAAGTCTTCTTTTGCACAATGCTATGAATATTAGGGTTTTCAGATTATCTGGCCAAAAAAGGTTATTGTTTTTCTCCTTTCTGTTTTTATTTATAAAAACTATTTTATAACAGGTTCTGAACGCAAAGAAGGCCAGTATGTAGGTCTCTTAAAGCTTTACAGTATGTCAGTACCCTATGTTAAATTAATCGGGTCATCTGTAAAAAGGTCACTCTGGGGATGTCATAGTAGTTTTGACATTTTGCAACTTCCAACTCTTATTGGGACTTGGTGGTCAAACTTCAGCAATAATCGATATAATATTATTCGCATCATAGTACAAGGGTAAAGGAATACTGGCGATTAGAAAAGAAAGGGCATAAAATTAAACTACAAACACTTGTTCCTCTTTCCATGTTAACCAGTTTAAGTACCCATTAATTTGCTATCAAAGATGCATTATAATGGAGTATTAGTTCCTAGTGCTTAAAAGTCAGAAGGTAAAACTAATACTCAGTCGTAAGATATTTTGCAAGAACATTGTCTTTTTTTTGTCTTTTTTTTTTGAAAAATGTAAGCAGGGATAATCTACAAAGAACATATCTGATATGTAATAAAAGTATTGAAGTTGCTTAGAATGTGCCCAATGAGTGCTAAACTTGTGTTGAATAAGTTCAGCCTTACGACTTCTGGTCTTCAAGGTTTCTACTTGTGTTTTAGAGCATCTTGACTTTCTGATTCTGCAGTTGTGACCTTGTTAGAGAAGCACCTGTGTTTTATGAGTTTTAGGCTGGTCCCTTCTCTGTTTCTAATTAATATTTGTCTGTATATATGGACCTCTTGCATTTTCTAAAACTAGATCCACAACGCTTCTAGAGTTATGTTAGTTGTTATTATCACCCCAAGTTTCTTAATTACAAAATCCATCAGCGGTTTACTGCACAATAACCCCACTTTTAGTTTTCACATACTTAGCTCCCCTTAATTATTGATTTTTACTCCCCACTTTGTATTTTTTTCCCGTCCTTTTCCACTGCCTTCCTCTGATGTGAGAACCATAACAGATGTTCTCCGTGATTGAAATCCCTACCTCATTAAAACCCCCTGTACTTATTTCGGCAGATTGTCAATGCGAGTACTGAAATAGAAGGTAGGTCCTTCCAGTCGTTGTATTCATTCTTCTAACCCAAAGGGCTGTTAGTGTAACTTGCTCTCCAGCATTAAGTGGCACTTCATCTGAAAATACGAGTCAGATTGAAATAGGTTGAAATAACTATTTTAATTTAACAATTGCCTATATTCGAGGATACTGTGCATATGCTTTTTCATTTTGGGATAGTATTTTGCCAACTTGAATTCATGATAACATTCAGCTTATTAACCTTTTTTGTTGTTATTTGTAACCAATGACTTGATCCTTGTACTTGATTGCAGGAAAAGGGTGAGAAACCAAAAGAGATATCTAGCAAAATGCAGAGTGTCTAACGTGCTAACTGAACAGGTAAAGGTAATATGATGTTTAAATTCCACGTTTTTTTAGCTTTTCAACTGTGAAAATATACGTTGGCTTGCAGAATTAATTGCAAGGGAGAGCTCGTGCAGACATCTTTTGAGTATAGTACATCTAAATAGTTATGTATGGAGTAGAAGTGCATCTGGGTACACACAGAATCCAACCAAGTTCTGGTGTTCTGGTTAATGCAATTCTCTGCCTTCTGCAACAGCTGAGTTTGGTTATCTAACATTGTATAAGTCATGTATCTCATCTAAATATATAGTTTTCAGCCAAACTTGTGTTCTTGTACTCCTTTAAGCTGCCAGCTTATTTATTTTTATTTGTGGGTTCTGTACCTTCGGCTTGTTGGTGTATTTGTATTATTCGTGAAGGCTATAATTTGCAGCTTATGATTGTGGAATTATGTTTTTTGGCATGTTTTCTTCTTGTTCCTCAACCCTGCTGAATTACAGCTTTCCTCAACTCAAAATCATAACTATGCTATCAGTTTCTAATCTTTTAAGAGGGCATGTTTTGTTGTTTTTGGTTTTCCCCGATTCTTGGAACCCAATAAATCAGTAGTGTTCTGTGTATGAGACAAGATCGGGTAATGCACTAACAACGTAAGTGCCTAGAGATGGATCAGATAATTTGGTGGATGATTATCACTGCTCTGAAACTAAAACGGCAGTCTTCTTGTCAAATTTAGACTTAAAAGGGCAGTTTCTCTAGTGCAGTGCTTGTTGTTTTTCTGGTATGGAGAAACTCTATATGGTCACATATGGGTATGGCCCATGCGACATGGTATAGCAAGTGTGAGAACGGGTGTAGACAAGTTTTATTCTTTATGACATGGTCGCTATCTTTATCAAAAAAAATGGCATGGTCTCTCTCGCTCTGTGAATACAAGTGATAGTCTAAACTATAACGGGAAGGAGAGTTCTCACACACAATATTAAGGTGCCACAGGGAACTATTTCTAACATTAATTGGGTTCTACAGTATCCTAACTCTCAGTCTCTCTCCATTTATGAAAATTGAGTAGAAAGTTGATAATAGGGTTGGATTTTAAATCACTCTCTCTAGGATGACATTAATGTATTATTATGGACTGGTTTAAAACTCTAAATTCCATGAACAGTTAATTCTTTATTTATTTTTACTTTCATTGTTGAGAGAGAGAGAGAGATAAGAACACTGGGATTTATATTAATTAATGCTATTTAAAAGATAATTATGTACTGCTAAACGAACCCTAAAATTAACTGAGTACACCATACTACAAAAATATATATTGAATTACTGATTTACTCTAATATGTGACCAAAAAGGATATGTGGAATTATGAAACAAATATAATTTTAATAAGTACACCTTATTAACCATATTCAACCCTAATCAAGAGATTACTTGATTCCCATCTTTGTGATCCGCGAGTCAGAATGGCTTGGAGCAGATGAAGCCTTCCATCTTTCTTCTCAGAACTATTTCTTGGCAACTTGGATTACTTGGTTGCCAACCTTTTGCAATCGTCTATGTTGTTTCTTTCTTCCTATTCTTTGTGTGTATGCTCCAACAATCTTTTATCATCCTAATTACCCAATCAGCAATAAGAAAAGAAACCAAATCAAAGTCAAAGTCAAAGTTTCTTTATGAATATGAAAATCAATCTGACTTACCTAGACCCTCTCTGAACAACCAAAAGCATGTCTTTTTTTGTTTTTTTTTTCCTGGAGCCATGGATAAATCTCCATGCGTTTGTCTCAGCTTCGTGCATGGGTAATTATGATGGCTTTTTGCTCGTTTGGCTTCTTCCAACACAAAAAATGTTATGAGATAATTTGTATTTAATTTCCCATTTGTCCTATTGTGTTTTTAACGAAAGAGGTGGTGATTGCAAGAACTTGTAATTGCAAAAAAAGTGTTAACAGTTTTAGTAGAAGCATAAATCCATATGAAAAGTCAAAAATTTATAAACACTACTAAAAAAAATAAAGCTGAAAATCAACTATAAAATAATGATTTATAAACACTACTAAAAAAAATCAAGCTGAAAATCAACTATAAAATAATGCTACAAGTATTAGGGTGTACCAGGGGTATTTGTGGTAGTTCTATAGGGTGTACTTAGTTAATTTTACATGTTAATGAAAATATTAGGGTGTACTTAGATCATAGGGTGTACTCAGTTAATTTTAGGGTTCGTTTAGCAGCACTCTAAATTAGTTAATAAAACAAAGGAAAATCATCCTAAACCGAAAACGTTGGGGTCCATTTGGATGATGCCGGCTGCTTGGCCCGCAAGTTCTTTTCTCATTCCTACTTCTATTTGGAAAAAGGAAACCCTATATATACTCCACTCCACTCCACTCCACCAACACATCTCCAACCAAATTAGAAACAAATGGCTCTCATTCGACAACGTCGCCAGCTTAATCTCCGCCTCCCCTTGCCCGAACCCTCCGACTGCCGCCCATGTTTCTCCGTTCCCCTTCCTCCCACCACCGCCGTCACAAACAACTCTTCCTTCGGCGCTATCTCCGCCTCCGATCTCGAGAAACTCCAAGTCCTTGGCCACGGTAACAGCGGCACCGTCTACAAGGTAAATCACAAGCGGACTTCCACCACCTACGCTCTCAAACTCGTCCATGGCAACTCCAACGACCCCACAGTCCGCCGTCAGCTCTTCCGAGAGATGGGGATCCTCCGCCGCACCGACTCTCCCCACGTCGTCCGCTGCCACGCAATCTTTGAGAAGCCGTCCGGAGATATCGGGATCCTTATGGAGTACATGGACTCCGGCACCCTCGAGACCTTGCTTAAAGCCCAAGGCACCTTCTCCGAGCCCAATCTTGCCCACGTCGCCCGCCAAGTTCTTAACGGCCTCAACTACCTCCACACCAACAAGATCATCCACCGCGACATCAAACCCGCCAATGTTTTGGTGAACAGCAACATGGAAGTGAAAATCGCCGACTTTGGCGTGAGCAAGATCCTGTGCCGGACCTCGGACGCCTGCAATTCCTATGTGGGTACTTGTGCTTACATGAGCCCGGAAAGATTTGACCCGGATACTTACGGCGGCAATTACAGTGGCTACGCCGGTGACATATGGAGCGTAGGGCTAACCCTTATGGAGCTTTACATAGGTCACTTTCCGTTGTTGCCTCCGGGTCAGAAACCAGACTGGGCCACGCTTATGTGCGCCATATGTTTCGGAGAGCCGCCGTGCTTGCCCGAGGGGGTGTCGGAGGAGTTTCGGAGTTTCATGGAGTGTTGCTTGCAGAAGGAGTCCGAAAAGCGGTGGACCGCCGCTCAGCTTTTGACCCACCCTTTCGTCTCTAAAGATCCGAGTATGTCCGTTTCCTGATGGGTTGCTGGATTTGTACACGAGTTACCGTTTGTAGGGTTATGAGTTTTGTTTGTAAGGTTCTGAGTTTTGTGTATATACTGGGCCGGATTCGGATTCGAATTCTTTCTTTATGAAATTACTTAGGGGGTTGTATTCAATTAGGATTGTGTACGATTTTGAAAGATTTTTTTTAAGTGACATATTTCCTGGGATTGTATAACTACTATAGATTTTACCCGGATTTTTAAATAAACTTGTATAGACATTAATTATAGACTTCCATACTTTTGTATGAACTTTTATTATTCTAGAAAGCCACACTTGTTGAGTAAAGAGATCAAGTTGGTGGAAGAATCTAGAGTTGTGGAGAAAAGAATAAGGAGGTGGAACAAAAAGCAATTGAAGTTGGAAGAACTTTCTAGAACAAGAGAATGCCTATAAATAGGCATGCTACCACAATGAAATGTGGAGTAAACCAATCAACTCCCAATCTATGTGGGAGCCAAGAGCTACCCAAACCAAGCCATGTTGAGGAGCCAATAAGCTCACCAATCAAAGTGCAAGGGCCAAATAGCCCAAACTAATATTAGCCAAAATACTAGGGAGGCCAATAAGCCAATGAGATATGAAGAAGGCCAATTAGCCTATACCAAGCTTTGTACTATTCTCCTCTAATCTAATAAAATCACTTTGTTTCCCCTAACAATCCAACAAGTGGTATCAGAGCAACTCACATCACACCTCCTACAAACTAACAATCTTTAATTAAACTTGATTAAGAGAATGCAAATCAAATTTCCTCTGCTTCTTTCAATTAATTCTGGCTAAAACATCAACAAGTTAATTAACTGACTTTCTCCAAGTAACTAGAAAGGTCACTTTAGTTTTGCAATAGGGATGTGTTATTTGAATTTCATGGATTGGACGTTCCTGTGTCTTTCCAAATAGAGTTTCCTCTCTGCCCTTTTGAGTTTTCTTCTCTTTTATTGCTTTCTAGAAACTAATCCATCAATTTTTAGGAATTTTCAATTACTAGGCACTTGTGCTTTCCCAAACTCCTACAATGTAATTATCCGATGGAAGTTGGTACTGATTGATAATGTTGTAGCCAAAGTTACCTTTGATCTTCATTCCTTGGCCTTCCTTGTCTTTTCCTGATCAAGAGACAAGCCCATACGCCGTTTGCAATATGTCCATATGTTGACTTCCTGTCACTTATATAACTATGCAACCATTGATTCCTTAAACCTAAATGTGAATCATACTTAGGTAAAGTTTCCCTTGTCTCATTTGCTGTTCTTTCTGTTTACTGATTATAGTATCCTGGGACTTATCACTTGTGTTTGCTTCTTCATATGTAGTCAAAATAGGATCTAATAAAGCAAGGTTTCAGCTAAGAATCTGTTTGGAGCTTCAATACTATCGTAATGCTTTAACTTAAATGTTCATTTGAAAGCTGGCTTTGTCATCACAATGTTCTTCACTTTGAGCTCTGTATGAAATCCACATGCAAAGTTCCTTCACCTTGTTGAAAATATTGTCATGTGTAAATCTAAATTCTGCTAGTCTTGCACCTTTGGGAGTTTGTTAAATGATTTTTATTCTATTGTAATCTATCTCCTGAATAATGTCAAGGGGAGAGATAGCTGCCATTGCTCCTTGGGTAAGATCCCTCTCTCTCTCTCTCTCTCTCCAAATATTTCCCGTTCTGATTTCGTTTACTCAGATTTCAAGTAAACATGCCAAGGATTCTTACATTTTTCAGCAATCATATTTGTGATGAAGATTGCTATCTTCCTTGTAGTAAAGAAGATAATAACTTGGAAAGGAAGCAGCTCTTTCAATCCAGACTTCCTGACACTCACAATGGACAAGTTTCTAAATGATATGGAAACAGAGAAGCTCATCAGGTTTACTACTCAACAACTGCAGATAGCAACTGATAACTTCACCAATTTGTTGAGTTCAGGAGGTTTCGGTGCAGTTTATAAAGGGGTATTTGGCAATGGAACCCTTGTAGCAGTGAAGGTTCTAAATGGGAGCTCAGACAAGAGAATTGAGGAACAATTCATGGCAGAAGTTAGTACAATTGGAAGAATTCACCATTTCAATCTGGTCCGTCTTTATGGCTTCTGCTTTGAGAGACATCTCAGAGCACTTGTTTATGAGTGCATGCCAAATGGTTCCCTTGACAAGTTCTTATTCCATGGAAGCAAGATCTTAAGATTTGAAAAGCTTCATGAAATTGTGATCGAGACAGCCAAAGGCATTGCTTACTTGCATCAGGAGTGTCAACAACGAATAGTCCACTACGATATAAAACCTGAAAATATTCTTTTGGATGCAAATTTGTTTCCAAAAGTAGCTGATTTTGGCTTGGCCAAGCTCTGTAACAGGGAAAATACTCATATAACCATGACAGGGGGCTGGGGGACTCCTGGCTATGCTGCACTAGAAGTTTGGCTGGGATTTCCTATAACACACAAATGTGATGTTTACAGCTTTGGGATGCTATTGTTTGAGATCATAGGCAGGAGAAGGAATCTTGACATTAATATTCAAGTAGCCAAGATTGGTTCCCAAGGTGGGTATGGAAGAAGTTTGAACCTGGAGAGCTAATGGTAGTTTGTGGGATAGAGGAGAAGATAAAGAGCGTGCAGAGAGAATGGTTAAGGTAGCTCTCTGGTGTGTCCAGTATAAGCCGGAAGCGAGGCCTTTGATGAGTGTTGTGGTGAGAATGTTGGAAGGAGCAGCTGAGATTCCTAGACCTTCAGTTAACCCTTTTCAGAACTTGATGCCAGGCACTGCACCCTAATAAACCTGTCGGTTCAGCTTTTCATTCAGAACGTACTAGCGCTTCTGGTTTGATTTCCTTTCAGACAGTAACTGAATTCAGCGTTGTGCACGCTACTCCTTGCATGACGAAATACTAGATTGATATAGTGTGTACCTAGGTAGGCTGAAGAACATTCCTCTCTCTCTCTTCCAAAATATGGTAATCATCATTCATCACTGATAGTATACCCCTGTCCTCTAGATGAATTTCTTTAAATGTCTAGCAGAGTGATGCACAGAAAACATCTTATTTTGCACATCAAACTGCTCTTTCCTTATTAGCCATCTTAGATTTAATTTGTATATTTTCAAAATGATACTGATAAAGAAAATTGGAATTTTATAGAACTGATGGTGCAGATTTATGATTTCTTGGAATGCCACAATGTAAACCACCATTTCGGTGTTCATATACAACTGATTACTGCAATGACTTTAGGGTTTACAGCAAGGATTTGATTATAAATACATGTAAGATATAGTACTACCATTTAATATTCACCAATGACCAAATGATCCATTTGCTGGCTTCTTGTCATATCATATCATATGCAGCCACATGTTTTCTCATATTGGGAAAATATTTTGCCAACTTGAACATCTTGTTAACATTCAACTTACTTGACCTTTGCTGATACTTGCTGTTATTTGCAACCAATGACTTGATCCCTTGATTGCAGGAAAAGGGCGATGAGAAACCAAAAGAAATTTCCAGCAAGGTGCAGATGTGTAACTTATAACTTTCTAGCTGGACAGGTAACACCACATGTTTTAAATCAGTATATGTTATACCAGAACTGCTTTTAGCTCTTCAACCGGAAAACTGTGTTGGTTTTCAGAATTCATTGCAAGAGAGTCTCATGCAGGCTTCTATTGAGTATGCATACTATATATCTATCTACTTATCTGTGGAGCAGCCGAATACGTGTAACAGCAGCTCAGCTGAGTTTGGTTTCTAACAGTTTTAGAAACCATATAACCTCCTCTAAGTCCATACTTTGCTGACAAACTTTTGGTCCTCTACCCCATTAAGCTGCCATGCAATCTTGCTTGTGTCAACTTCTCAACATCATAACCATATGTACTCTATGTAGTTTTAATCTCTTGAGGGGAGAGAGGGCAGTGGCTTCCTGTTCTAAGCGATTCTTTGAACCCAATAAATCAGCAGTGGAGTTGCATTTTGTACATGAGACAAGATTGGACGGGCATTTTATCCCCACACTAGAAGTTTAAATTGCCCGTCCAATCTTGTCACGTGTAGATACAAATGACCATTAGTAAACTTCCAGTCTGGTATCAACCTAATATGAGACAGTAGGATGAGAAGTGCAGATAGGAGCTTCAAGGTTCTTGGTCTCTTCATCAAGAAATCCTCTCCTTTTGCACATCAAATCAAACAACTGTTTCGTAACGATAAACAACTGAAAAAGGAAAATTACTAAACCAGATACAAAGATGTAATAATGAATGACCAATACTAGCTAATTGATCTACTACCATATTTGTCTCTTTGAAATTACAGCATAAGTGGACTATTGGGATTTGCTGGATAAGGAAATGGATATCTTGAATAATGGAAGTCATTTTCCAAGGAATGATACCCTGGTTCTTCAAATTTTGAATAAGATCACATTTAGAATCTCCTCTAATTTCAAAGTGATGAAAATGTAGAGCTTTTCGTAAAGCTAAAGCTTCAACATGCAAAAACATATAATTTATAGAGAAATCAGGACCAAGTCAAGATGATATGCGCCAACTCCTTCTTCAGCCAAAGATGTTACCATTTCTGAAGAAATTGATTATTTTAAAACCACAATTTCAGTGCTATAACTACTGGTTATTTTTCTTCTGGGATTTGACTCCTCTTCCTTTTCCTGACAATGTAATCCGATGCCTGGATGCTGTTTTGTTCCTTATAGAGATGACTTTCCTGGGAGGAAAATCATGGGAGCTTCATCTTGACCCTCCGAGGAAAATTCATGGATCCGCCATCGTCAAGGCTCCAGGGTAATAATAACAGCTACCATCAGGTCCAGGTGAGATAGAACATGTCATGAGATTTCTCTAACACAGCTCACTGAAAGTCAACAAGTTTATTGAAGTTTAGACTAAAGGGAGGCTTTTTAAAATGCTTGATCTTTTTCCTTTCTTATTTGTGATTTTAGTTTTCTCTCCCATTTGCAATAGTCATATATAAAAAGTGCATAGTTTCTTCCTATTATGCAATTTGCCAGCTGCAACCTGAGAAAGTTAGCTTTAATCTTCTTATCTTTCCCAGGACTTTTTTGTGATCATGTCAGTGTCTCCATGTGTACCTGTCACT